AACTTCCGTGCATGATGTTGTATAGAAAATAGGCGTAATGTGCTGTCTCGTGCCTCTCGACCTGGGATAAATCCAGTCTGATCCGCGTGGACAAGGTTTGGTAACGTCCTTTGAAGTCTAGTTGCCAATACTTTCGTCAGGAGTTTCGTGTCCACATTCAGCAGAGAGATCGGGCGATAGCTGCCACATTGTTCCGGGTCCTTCCCGGGTTTGAGCAGGACCGCGATTGTTGCCGTCAGGGACTCCGTGCCAAAGTGTCCCCCCTCCGCAACTTTGTTTACTGCTTTCGTTAGCCATGGTAGGAGTGTCGTAGCAAAGTGTTTGTAGTACCCTGTGGAGAACCCATCTGGTCCAGGGGCTCGTCCAGTTTTCGTGCCCTTCAACGCTGCGGCTAAGTCCTCCGTGCTAATCGGTTCGTCAAGTATATCTGCCGTCTCAGGATTCATCCATTTCCGCACGTTGTCTTGCAGGTATGTTTGTATGAGTGAGGATGATTCCCGTCTATGGGCTGTGTCCTCTGGTGGGTAGAGGTTATAGAGGGAGTTGTAATATTCCCGGAATTCACCTGCTATTTCTTCAGGATATGGTGATAGACTGCCCGTTGATAAGCGAAGTTTCCTCACTTGCGTGCGTGGTGTGTCTCCTCTCAAGAGGCGGGCAAGGAATTTCCCACCTTTATTTGCATGGGTGTAAAAGAAGGACCTCGATCTTTGGAGTGAGCGGTGGTGTCTTTGCGTGAGTAGGGTCTGCAAAGTTCGTCTGGCTTCCATCAGTTCACCATATGTTGAGGTTAGTTGGGAACGTTTGTGTAGGGATTCCAGGCGTGTGATGGATTTATACGCGTCTGCCATCGCCCTGGTGGACTCCTTCCTTTTGCGGGATGCAATGCCGATGAGGGTACCACGTATAACACTTTTATGTGCTTCCCACACCGACACCGGAGATATCTCATCTGTTCCGTTCTCGGCAAAGTAGTTTTCCAGTGCCTGTGTGATCTCCCCTCTTACCCCAGGGTCCTGGAGCAGGGATTTATTCAGGCGCCACGTCCATGTTGCGGTCTTAAACAGCGGGGATTCCAATTCGACCCTGACTGAACCGTGGTCTGACCAGGTGGCCGGTTCTATAGAGGCTGTGCGCAAACGGGAGAGCCCTTCTTGCTTGATGAACACATAATCTATGCGGGAATAACGTTTGTGGATCACCGAGTAATGCGTGTAGTCCTTGGTAGAGGGGTGAAGCGTCCTCCAGCAGTCCACCAATGTTAGTTCACCTAGCGTTTTGCGGATGGATCTAATGCGAGATTGTGAGAGGCAACTATGGCCAGTGGATGAATCCATGAGAGGGTCTAATGGAACATTAAAGTCTCCCCCCACTATCAGTGCTCCCTCCGAGAATCCATGCAGTTTGTGTAGTGTCCCGCGAAGGAATTGTGCTTGCTTGGAATTGGGAACGTATATGGTCGCGAGAGTGTACATTCTGTCGGCTATCGTTCCTTTCAGGAAAAGGAAGCGCCCTTGATCATCAGCCAATCTGTCCAGTTCTTGGAAATCTAGGTTTGCAGCAAGCAGTATCGCAACCCCCGCCCGACGAGCGGTCGGGTGATTGATGCAGTAGTGTAATGGGTGATGGGCGCTGCGGAGTTTTGGAGCAGCGTTCTCCCGAAAGTGAGTTTCTTGTAGCATCGCTATCGATATGTGTTTCTGTCGTAGGATTCTTAATAGGTGAGAGCGGCGTTCCGGTATATTCAAGCCTCTGCAGTTGAGGGTCATGACGGACAGGGGAGCGTGATTATACGCCATAACTTCCTTTGCGGCCGTATGCTCCGGCTCCCAGGGGGGGTATCCAGGCGGGGTGATCGGCCAGGGAGACAATGCCAGCTAGTGTAGGCGTACGTGTGACTATGAGGTGTAGTGTCCTATGCGTCCGTTGCAGTGCTAGTTATGGGTGGATATGCAAGCGTCCCGTGAGCTATGGGTCTCGTTCAGGAGGTGTCCCCCCTCGTTATCTGTGTCAGGCCGGAACGTGTGCCGCAGCCGTGAGGGTTGGTGTGGATGTGGGTGAGTGCGTGTAGGTGTATTTAAGGGTAGTATGCGATTGGTATCGGTAGTAGGAGAATGTTGATTGTGTGGGTAAAAAATAGAGTGGAATATATATAATAAAATAGGGGGTGATCCGAGTGGATCCCTCCCTTGGGGTATGTCCCCAGCGGGGTAAAAGGTGGGTGTAACCCCGAGATCTCCAAAAAGAGGAGAGTCACTTGCGTCTCAATAGGAGTGGCCAGGTGTCACTCCGATAACCAGATCGGTGGGTGAGCAAGCCTGTGGCTCCTTTGAGGATTCTGCGCAAGTGAGAGTATAGAGCAGTGGGCGGAGTCCAAGCCCGAGTGGGCGTGGTCTGTGTGTCGTGGGTAAGTCGGGTTCTCGTCTATCTCGTTCCAACCAGTGTCCAGCCCAAGTGTGTATAGTCGTGGGAGGCGCAAACAATCAGGGGATCAAACAGAAATATAGCAGGTTAAACGTTGTGATCGTAAACAATAACAGTATGAGTATCAACAACAATTGGCGGTAACATTTATCCACCTTCCCCCCCAGCACTCCCCGCCGGGAAGTCTAACCACCCGCTCCGCCCCGGGGCAAGCCCCCCATAACAATTGTGTCTCCCACTTATCTTCCAAGATGTGTCATGAGAGATATAGCGATCCTAGATCTCCCGGGCACCTATTGTCTGATCGATGAGGATATCTAGCCATAGTGTCTCTATCCTTCCTGTTGTGTGCTATGTTCGGGGTGAGGTATGGTAAATCCCAGGGCATCTTCCCCATGGTTCTTATTAAAAGTAGTTAACTCCCTAATGTTCCCGTGGGGGTGTTCCATTTGGCTGGCCCCCTCTAGCCCTCATGTTCCAGGTAATTTCCCACACACCCGTCTGTCCCTCTGTTACAGTCTACATATTCAGGAGACATAGCCAAAGCATCAGCAATATTTAGCACAATAAATAACAGGGGAGAGAAAGCAATTAAGCGGCATAACTTCAAGCAAAGATACTTAGCAGGTGCGAATAGTCCTGGATTCGCTGTTGATTTCGTGCATGTTGGTGATGTCACAGGTAAGTCCAGTCACGGCACTAATCCATGCATAGTCAAACCAAAGCAGCCGTGGTCGTGTCAGCGCAGGAACAGAGTATGCCCAGAGCTCCCCCCAAATCACCCCCCCACCCCAATGCCACATCAAAAGGCCCCCGAGAACGCTCCTGGGGGGTCATGAGACCGTGAGGGCAAGGAGAGGCACAACGGGGTCATTCTTATAAGTGCACAAGGGGGAGGTCAGTCCAGGTTGTAACATTGCCAGGTGTGCACTCAGTCTCGGGTAGTCGCTATTCCCGGCAGGTGAAGTTATGTTCGTGCATATTGTGGGGTAGGGTCAGTCACTACTCTTGCAGCGTTTCTCAAGTCCATCATGACCTTGTTCAGTACTGTCCAGTCTCGTGATGATATCAGGGCCGTTGTATGCGTATCGGCCGAGCCCCTTAGCTCGGGTCAGGCGGCTCTTTCCCCCCCCCCCCCTTTGCGTTATGGATGTGGGGTCCCCGGGGGCAGATAGGGCATCAGCGACCGGGCGGATCAGCGCAGTCTGGGTGGCGGTTGTCACTCTTGAGCCCCTCCTGCGTCTTGACGGCGGCGAGATGGGCCTTGTGGGGACCTTCCCCTGCGACGGCGGGGTGCGCGTTGCGGTCTCGGGCCGACGTCTAGTGGTCCCAGGACCCAATCAGGTATAGGTACAGGCGGTAGACCCAAGTCCTCTAGGAACTTGGGGACCTCTTCCGGCCAGCGGATTGATACCCAGCCGTTCTGGTGTCTCGCCAAGAGGGCGAACGGAAAGCCCCATTTGTAGGTGATGTTGTGGTCCCTTAGGAGCGTCGTGATGGGCCGCAGCGCTCTCCTAGCTTCGAGAGTGACTGGGGATAGGTCATTAAATAACGAGATACGTGCCCCCTTGTGTTCCCAGGTGGGACGGGATCTGGCCGCCTTCATGATGGCGTCTTTCACAGCAAATGAATGTAGGCAGCATATTATGTCCCTTGGACCCTCCTCTAGGGAGCGAGGTCTGAGATCTATGTGCCCTGTCATACCTGATCTCCATTGGGGTGTCACCGGGCAGAATCAGGCGGAAAAGGGCCGTCAGCTCTGTTTCAACATCTTCCTCACCGTCAGCTTCTGGCATTATGGCCTTGTGTGCTGCCTATATCACTGTGATTGGGGCATCTGGTGTCAGGTTTTCTGTGAAGTATATATTTAGCTGTTTTTGTATGTCTGCTACGACTTGTGGGTCTTTTAGGAGGGATGTGTTGAGTCTCCATGTCCACGGGGTGGGGCTGTGTAGGCTGTCTAAATAAATTGCGATGTCTGCCCGTTTGGTTAGTCAGGAAGAGGTCAATGCGTGAGTAGGTGTCGTGGGGGGGATGTTGTGCTCTCCATGCGTCGATGAGTCCCGTTTTACGGATGAAGTTGTGTAGTTGTTTATCTTGTGCACCCATACCGTGGGATCTAGCTAGTCCCAGGCGTGTGCTCCTGTCGACTGCTGGGGTGGGGGTGGCGTTAAAATCACTTCCCCAGCTTCGAGAGTGACTGGGGATAGGTCATTAAATAACGAGATACGTGCCCCCTTGTGTTCCCAGGTGGGACGGGATCTGGCCGCCTTCATGATGGCGTCTTTCACAGCAAATGAATGTAGGCAGCATATTATGTCCCTTGGACCCTCCTCTAGGGAGCGAGGTCTGAGATCTATGTGCCCTGTCATACCTGATCTCCATTGGGGTGTCACCGGGCAGAATCAGGCGGAAAAGGGCCGTCAGCTCTGTTTCAACATCTTCCTCACCGTCAGCTTCTGGCATACCGCGCACGCGGATGTTGCAGCGGCGCCCGCGGTTATCGAGGTCTTCTACCGTTCTCCTGAGCTGTAGGAGCATGTCCCCTTGCCTAGCAACGGCCGTGTCGGTTGAAGTCAGTCTGGCTTGGTGGGCCTCGTGGGAGCGTTCCAGGGTAAGGACTCGGGTACCTCCGTCCGAATTCCGGCCATTTCAGCTCGCAGGGCATCCTGTATAGTGGTGGTAAGTACCAGTAGGTCGGCCTTGGTGGCCATGGAGGCCGCGATAGTGCGGAGTTCTTCCCCGATACCGTCCAGCGTGGAGGCAGAGGGGGCTCTGGGTGCGGAGGAGGTAGACGCCATTTTGGAGCCTCTGGCCTCGCCGAGTGTGTCCACCGGCGTCTGAATAAATTCGTCCATCGGGCCCGAGTGGTGCGGTTGTGATCCCCTGGGGGTCCCTGGAGGTTCACCCCTTCGGCTCCGACCCATTAGTGCTGGTGATTGCTGTTTAATAGGGCGGTGTAAGGACCGGTGGAGCGGAGCTCGCAGCTTACACGTCCATCTCGGTCGGCATCCAAGCCACGCCGCGTTATTGCTTTTTAAGGATGAGATGGCCAAATTGATTTTGTCCTTGGTGATGGGAGCGGATAGCTCAGCAATGGCTGTGGTATGGAGTTTGGGTAGATTGAGGCATGTTAGGAATTCTAAGGTTCTCTGGCAGGCAGCCATGGTGGGGGTGTGGTTGTATAGGGCTTCGTAAAAGGATGTAAAGAGTTGCACTCTCTCTGTCGGCGAGGTTTTCATGGAGCCATCGGGGGCTCGTATGGACATAATGTGGGGGCGTTATGTTCTGCGACGTAGCGTGTAGGCCAATAGGGTGTCCATTTTATTTGATTTGTCATAGTACGTCCGCTTGGTCCATGTCAGTGCACGTGCTGTGTCGTTTATCAGCAGTTGCCTAATGGATAGGCGTGTGTCGTGTAGGTGTTGAAGTGTTGAAGTGTGTGGGTCCATTTTGTGGCATTGTTCTGCTGTGCGGAGGGAGTCTAGTAGCTGTGTGAGTTTTGGGGTTTCGCTATTTTGATGAGGTGGCCTCGGATTATGGCCTTGTGTGCTGCCTATATCACTGTGATTGGGGCATCTGGTGTCAGGTTTTCTGTGAAGTATATATTTAGCTGTTTTTGTATGTCTGCTACGACTTGTGGGTCTTTTAGGAGGGATGTGTTGAGTCTCCATGTCCACGGGGTGGGGCTGTGTAGGCTGTCTAAATAAATTGCGATGTCTGCCCGTTTGGTTAGTCAGGAAGAGGTCAATGCGTGAGTAGGTGTCGTGGGGGGGATGTTGTGCTCTCCATGCGTCGATGAGTCCCGTTTTACGGATGAAGTTGTGTAGTTGTTTATCTTGTGCACCCATACCGTGGGATCTAGCTAGTCCCAGGCGTGTGCTCCTGTCGACTGCTGGGGTGGGGGTGGCGTTAAAATCACTTCCCAGTAGTACCACTCCTGTAGGTAGTGACAAGACTGTGTCTGGCCTATGGTTCCGAACGGTGGTGATGGGGTGTTGGGAGCGTATATGTTGATCAGGTGTATGGTTCGTGTGTGGATTCAGCCTGTTGCTATTATGTATCTGCCCTCAGGATCTATTGTCACTTGGGTGAGATGTATAGGGCATCTTTTGTGGACGAGGATAGCTACCCCATTTAGTTTTTGGAAGGCTCGTGCCTATGCGGCTACGCGATAGGTATGGTCGCGGTGGTAGAACTGAGCGGACCTAGGCAGATGCGTCTCTTGTAGGAATGCAATGTCCGGGTTTAGTCTTTTCAGTTCCCTAAAAAGTGTCGCTTGCGAGGGGTGTTAAGGCCCTTAACATTAAGTGAAGATAATTTTACGGTCATGGTATTGGGGTGAAGGGGTCTCTAATGAAGTAGTGATGTAAGGACATGGTGCAGGGCGGAGCCCTCACCCACCTCTGCTCCCCAAGCCATCTGCATTGGTGGGATTCCTGTCTGGGTGTGCTTGTTGTATCAGTCAATGACCAGAATATGATTAGGGTAGGGGTTGGGGTGAACTATGGAGACTGGGGCGGGGGATAGAGGGATGGGGGGTGCAGGTGGGGTACAAGTGTACCTGTCTGGTCTTATGCCTTGCCAGACCACGGGGGGTGTACCTGGACCCCATCAAGTTTTTTTGCCATCTGGGGGTCTGGGTCATGAACCTTGTCATCAGGGGTGTCCCCTATACCAATAAACTTTTGTTGGGATGATAAGTCAAGTGCAGCTATTGTCCGGGAATTGTTGTGGGTATTAAATTCCCTTTTTAAAGGACCGGGCTGCTATGGTTGTGTGGCTGAGGGGTTGGAAGTCCTCAGAGTTTTGCTGCCTTATGGTACTGTTCTACAGTTCACAAATTGGGGAGGGGGGGGGGAGAAGGGAGAGGGGGGCGGAGAGAGATGCCCTCCCCTGTTGGACGTCCAGAGTTAGGAAGGGATGATTGTATGTGTAGGCGGAGAAGGTGGAACCTGCTAGGTACGTTATCCTAGTGTAGAGGTGGTCTACTGAAGGGGAGGAGCGCTGAGAGCGCTGTGGTGTGCATGGGATTTAGAAGGGGGGGATACAGTAACATGTCAGCTTTACGTTCTGTGTATACTTATGTATGGCACGTAAGTGTAGTTTTAGGCACCGGTATTATCCTGTTTGGATTTACGTCCAGCCTGCCCCGTGCCACGCTCACACACCACCAATCTTGCCTAGTGTACTGCCAAGTTTTCAGGTGTGTTCCCTGAAGGTGGAGTAGCTTGTAGGTTAGGGTGGGTTATTGGGGGGACTTGGGAGGAGGGGGCATGTCGCTGAGTGTGAACTGAGGTCACCACCACACAGTTATCAATACAGTTATCTTGTATACATACATTTATACATCACATACGGTTACCCTGGTGCATTACTAGGCTATCTAAATGTAGTTTTTGTCTTACGTGGTTTCATGCTTGGTCGTGCTGCTAGTCTACCTTGTTTTGCGTTCATAAGCTGTCGGTCATGCTTAGTTGGTGGCCCTGGGGGTGCAAGTGTGAATGGCCCCGTTGCGTCTGACCCTGTTTTTCTTTTATGTGGTAGAGTCTGTAGTACTGTGGGTTCGCTTTCTTCGTGGTGATATAGTCTATCAAAGTGTAGGTGTTAGTGGGTGTACCATTGCTTTTCTTGTGCTCCCTCGTTTTGTTGGATGGTGTGAGTCAAGTGCGGACCTCTAAATAATTTGTTATTTTAGTTGGTTTTCATTGCAATGAATGCAATTTAATCCACATTTGGTGGCAATGCGTACCCATAAATAAATTTTGGAAATGTAATCAGGGCCGGATTAACATAGGGGCTGATGGAGCTGCAGCTCCAGGCCCAGGACCATGGAATAGGCCCATAAAAAAAAAATATAAAAAAAAATTTACTTTTTTTTTTTTTTTTTTTAACACTCTACTCTTAGGTTTGCCACCTGACTGGTATTTTACTGGCACAGATAGTATTTGAGGCTGCCTGGCTTTGTCGGTATTGCAGTAATACCGGCAATACAAATCTCAATATAAACAGAGATTACTCTGCAATACTAGCACCGGCCAGTAGGCCAGTGTGTGGAATAGGAAGTTACAGCATATCCCTCCCTGCCTCTCTCTACTCACTGATCTGTGGAGGAGCAGCTACACAGCACAGAGAGTTCAGACAGCAGCTCCCAACCTGCAGAGACAGCCTACAGCTTAGGGAAGTGAGGGATGAGAGGAAAGGCTGCAGTGAGACATTGGGACACTGAGACACTAAGGGACATTGGGATACCTGGGGACACAGACACTTGGAAACATGGGGACACAGACACTATGGGACACTGGGAGACCTGGGGACAGTAAGACACTAGGGGACGCTGTGAGACATAGGGACATTGAGAGACACATTGGGACATGGAGACACTAAAGACACAGTGTCTCCAAGTCCTCCAGTGTCCCATGTCTCCCAGCCAGTGTGCCTAGTGTCTCAGTGTCCCCATGGCTCCCAGTGTCTGTGTTCCCATGTCTCTCAGTGTCCCTAGTGTCTCAGTATCCCTAGTGTCCCCATGTCTCCCAGTGTCCCCAAATGTATCAGTGTCCCCTAGCATCCTAGTGAAACAGGACAAACACTGAGACATGGGGACACTGGGAGCAATGAGGACACAGACACTGGGAGACTAGTGGACTGGGTGACATGGGGACACTGACACTGTGATACATAGGGATACTGATGCCAGGCTGGCCTTCCAATTCTTTGGGCAGACATGCCTCCATCTTATTGAGAACCTTTGGAGCATCCTCAAGCAAAAGATCTATGAGGGGGGGAGGCAGTTTACATCCAAACAGCAGCTCTGGGAGGCTATTCTGACATCTTGCAAACAAATTCAAGCAGAAACTGTCCAAAAACTCACAAGTTCAATGGATGCAAGACTTGTGAAGCTGCTATCAAATAAGAGGTCCTATGTTAAAATGTAACGTGACCTGTTAAAATGTTTAAAAAGTTAAAATGTTGTTATAAGTTTGATTGAAATAGCTTTTCAGTTCTTTACAACCTATAAAGTGTTTTGAAACTCACTTCCAATAATTTGGAACCGTGCATTGTAAGTTTTTTACGTAAAAAAAAAAAAATACTGTTATCATTAGGAGGTTTGCTCAATAAAATTTGAATTGTACTTTTAATAGTTGATAACATGAGAATTATGTGGACTGTTATTTACATCAATTATTTAGGTAAATGAGAAAAATATAAATTTGCATGATAATTTGGAACAGGGTGTACTTTGCAACGCATTTCTACAAAAGGGATATCAATTTGCATCAAAGTTTTTGCATGGTTAACTCATTAATTTTTTGTTCCAGGTGACGTTCTCTCTCTAAATGACAATCCAACGCTGTTAGCCCAGGTTGCCCAGCAATACCCCTTGTCCCCACCACTCCCAAAGCCCTAAGGTCTGCACCTTTCTTAAATTTGGCAGTTAAACTAAATACACGGAGGTTGGATATACCCCGAACAAGCTCGTCATGCCCTAGAGTGGCTCACGCAAGTAATCCTGTTAACTCACTAAAAGTAATCAACAGCCTCACCACTTCGTACTTCATGGAACCATGGTGTCCGACCAGCCGCAGCTTATTTAAATGTTTGTTATGCAAAAACTGTTAGTGGACTCATCGAGGGCGAATTTCACTACTAGTACAAATTAAGCCTATTTCAGCCATTCATAGCATCCCAGCGATGCCACTTTCCACATACGGTATTAAGTGCTCAAGAGACCATATTGCCTTTTACCATACACAATTCTATTTAGTCCCCTACATGGATAGATGTCGCAACCAACTGTATAAATTTTATTTCAGGCTCAAACTTGGGCCTATACACATGGTTAAAAGACATTAATATTAACTGGTATAAACATTCACTGTACACATTCAAAGTAAGCCCCACATAGGGCATTTCTGCTAAATCAGGT